CCCCCCCCCCCCCCCCCCCGCTTTCTCTCTCTCTCTCTCGTTATGAATTCCAAGAGAACTTTCTCAGAAATACAAATATGGCTTCAGACAGGAAATATTTATCAGAATCATGGCAAATAGAGAAACAAACTTACCTCTTCCAATTTCTATTGCACCTAAGATGCTATTTATGTAATTAAAATGCAGATTATTTATAGAACTAAAATTGCTTTTGCTTTAGCCTTACAAATGGTATTGACTTTACTCAATGTGCGCAGTCCAGCCAACAGTTATTGAAATAGCTGTACTGACTGAATTTGTTTAGAAACATTCATTCGACCCTCAGCTCCTTTCCTATTGGACCAGCAGTAAACTGAGACATCAGCTGCTGTGGAATGAGCATACAGCTTTTTACTCTGTGGATTAAAAAGAAAATAAATTGCTAAGCCTGCTCAGCTCACTCAACATCCAGGATGTTGGGTGCCCACTGAAGGAGACAGAGAGAAGATGATGAAAGAGAATTGTGTTTTTTGACCTCCAATAGGCAGCTTATACTAGAGGTATGGATTAGGGGTGGAGAAAAGGATGTGGGTTCATGGGGTTAAAGATATCTCTGCTCTGTATAATATAGTAATTAAAAACTAAGATTCAGGTCTGTCAGTCAGTTCTTACTCTAAATTTTTTTTATATATATATATATAGTACAACAGGAAAAGGGTGGGAAAGAAAAGGTGATCCTTGTCCTTCCTTTTCCTAATTCTACCCCCACAGGTCTGTCAGACTTATGCCATGCTAACTGGAATCCCCAAAAAGAACTTTCCAACATGGTTCTTTTCAGAATCATTGGACTGTAACTTCCATTATCTGCAGTTAGCATGATACATACTTTTGTTATACATTTCTAATAATTACATTCTGTATTTTAGCTTACAGGGTGTAACATTGCAGATGATTTGACTTTCAGGGCCAGTCAACCTCAAGACTCAAAAGAATGAGAGGCACCCCCAAAAATATACTTACATCAAAGTGCAAGAAGACTCAGGGGAACTTGATAAGGTGACATGAGCCTTGGGTGTTGCAATTCCATATACCATAAGATCCAGCGTGGCTTCATCTTCAATTACTGGTTGTGTTGGGATATCTTGAACATTGGACTACAAAAGAATACAGGGAGAACACAGATAAGGAATTATTTGAAATTGTCCACTGTGTTAACTGGACAATTAAAGCAATATTTTTGGCTTTACGTGAGTACAAGTTATATTCTATTAATACACAATGTTTAATTATATTCAATTAATATTCATAGTCACCCAAGAATGCGCTTTTCATTTCAAACAATTTTCAGTGTTTGATTTTATGTGGGATTGTATGACTGTGCTACAGTTTTATTATAAGCCACAGCTTGCCACAAAAATGATATTACCAAAAAGAGCTAAGATTACATTGGGAAGCATACATATTAAATGTACATGCATGTGTGAAAATCATGCCCCTTACAGCCCCTTGCACACTTAGCTGGATGGGTAGCTCCAGTGGAATCTGTAAGACTTATTTCTAACTAAATAAGAGTCATTTGCCTAGTGAGTGGTCGTATAAACTGAAGGAATAAAGCCAACAAACAAATAAACAAATAAAACTAAACATGATTAGCATTGCACTGATGTGACAGTGTGGCTAACATTGTTCTCAATGGAGGGGATGGCATTTTAAATACCTTTTCCTCATACTGAACACAATAGAAAGGATAATCTTTGTGCCAGGTCCAGGACTGGTGCCAAGTTCCACCATCAGTGAAGATGTGAGGTATATAAGCACTATAACATGTGGTGAAAAGCAGTATCCAATATATAGCAGGGGTAACCCTGGCAACTTTGATAATGTCTCCTGATTTAGCACCAGAATAGTTCTGCTAGTGGAGCATTTGATGGTATGAGTAGGTGTTGCAGTGGGGTCCCTGTCAAGTAGCTTACATTCTTCTAGAGCTTCTTTAAGTCTCTCTCTCAACTCTTGCAACCCACATTCACTGCTTTTCTCTCACAGAGCAAAAATGGATGCATTTTATGTAAATATATATCAAATATCAGCAAGAAATGCTATAAATCCAGCAGAACGTTCAAATCTACAGTGGAATTATTACAGCATAGAAGACAAAACGGTAGATCTATCTAGAAGGATGAAGAGACTTCAATCATTCATAATACAGCAAGACTTTCATTTACTTTCTTTAGAAAAAGCAGAGGTAGGATAATATGCCAAATATTTAGTCAAAATAATAACTATTATTAATATTTTTACAAAGTATAGTTAAAAGTATGCTTTGTTTGGGTACACAAAAGGCCCACAATGGAAGGTTATTTTCATGTTCTTAAAAGTCCTCCTTCCATTTACCGCTTTGCAATTCCACATTTTAAACAGTACCAGCTCTACATCTGAACAGAGCTACAACCACGGGTGGCTACAGTATAGAGCTCTGACTGTTTCAAAGGATACTTCAGGCCTTTCTCTGAATGTTCACTTTTCACATTTTACTGCTTTTATATTGTATCCAGCAACACACTATGAGGTAAATGGAGTTAAACTTAAACATTAATAAAATCTCAGTATTTGTACCACAGCATGCCCAAGATACTTTGCTGGTTGAAACAAATAACAATTCCTCTCCCCACCTACATTCACAAATTAACTGGAGCTGGTAGATGAATTTTACAAAACTATGGGCAGCGGGTCACAGCAAGTGGTGGCACCTAACTGATTGTGCATAAGTGCCAAAGCTCAGACTTTGCACTTGGATGGAAGACTCCCAAGAAATCCCAAAGCTGTAGGTTGGATTAGGAAATTAAAAATGCACCCCAGAAGAAGACAATGGCAAATTGTTTTTGTATCATAGCAAGAAAATGTCATGAATGTGCCCAGATTGTTACCAGAGGTTAAACCTGACTGGGGGATTTACCTTATGGGCAGCAGATTATTTTACAAGAGGCTGTGAGGAACACCCCCCTCCCCACACACACACACAGAGGGGAATGGCTAGGGAATTCAGGAGAAAAGGGAGGGGAGAAAGTATCTCCACTGCCTCCCTTGTATCAGGCCAATCCAGCTTCCTGAATGACCATCACTATAGAGGTGGCTTTGTTCCATGTCTCAACCAATTGCACCTCAGCAGCAATGCAAAGCGCTGCAAAAGCTCTGAGAACAACAGCATGGGCTCTGAGAACAATAGCATGGGCTCCTAATGTCCACCATTTTGTTTTTCTCATAGTGTTCCAAAATAGTATCAGTCCATAACATTAGAAAACGGTTGCACTACAAAACATGGCAGCCGTGACATTTTTCATTATGGCCATCATTTTGTTTTTCCCACTGTGTTGCACACTGATAGTGTCCAGGACATTATGGGGAAAATAAGAAAGCATACGACAGCCAAACAGTAGTGATTTTCCCAAGTCGCTGCCTTTTGATTCAATTTTTACAATTGTTTTCATCTGTAATCGAGTAGATAAATGTGTCTGCCAGTTAAGGAGAGCACTCCATACATCTAATGTAGTAGGTTGTTGTAATCAGGTGAAACCTAATGTCATAATTTACCTTTCCAATGTGAAGCCCCAAAGGGCAAGGCTATTAAACTTTTATAGAAAAAACAGTTGTGATGCTGTAATATCAGAAATAAACATATAGCAGACTTAGTAAAGCAGGTTATCTCTCATCAGCCACACAAAGGCTTAAAGGGAAACTTTTAAAAAGTAAAGGAAGTGAAAAACCAATGCAAAAAAATTGAAGGCTTAACTAAAACTTAAACAGTAATTTTAACAGCAGCATTAATTAGAAAGAGCAGTTTCGGGGAGTGTATTTTTCCCCCCTTGGATAAACTGTGCAGCTTGACAGACTTTTAAAAAATGATAAGCCTGTCTTTCTACTAAAGATCTATAATTTCTGCTGACAGAAGGAGGTATACCTGACTATGGCACAGGCCCATTTCATCTCATTCAGCTTTGCAGGACACAATCATTATGGCAATGTTTGAAGGTATGATTCAGCTGTGAATGTATTGCAAATGCATGTTAGAAGATTTGCTCTTTCCAAAGTATTGAGCCCCATCCTCTTGTCAAGAACCACAACTACACGTTTCCATCAGAATACAAATCCCTCAAGGTCGGGTTTCTGAATGATTCCCTTATGTCATTTATTTCAGTAAAAGTGTCTCACACATTCACTAGAGTTCCCAGGTGACCTTTTTTTTTCTTGTACAATTTGTAGAAATAATGAAAGCTGAAGCATTGTAGTGACTATGCAGCTGGGAATATAGGGTGAAAATCCTTTCGTCATTTGCTTAGCCTTTCCATATTTCAAGAATATAAATGCCTCAAAGAATTCTGGTTGACCATGTATTAAGCACAAAAGTATTGCAGCTATAACTGCTTTTTCTTTGTGATGAATTTTTATATAATCTCAGATCACCCCATTTGGACTTTCTAAAAAGACGACATTCTGGAGAGAACTAATGTACCACTTGGAAAATATATCAATTCATTTCTGCATTTATACCCTGCCCTTTCTCTTAGAACTCAAGGCAGCATATATGGGAGGGGGTCTCCCTCATTTTCCCCCCAACCACCATCCTATGGTGAGCTGAGAGAGAGCACTTGGGCCCAAATCATGCAGTGAGCTCTGTGGTTGACTGGGGACTTGAACCTGGGTCTTCCCTGTCAAATTCCAAGATATTCATATACACATGCAAACACTCAAGGGCACAGACACAGATTCATATTCCCCACTGTGCTCCTCCTGAAGTTTGTTCCTTTCACTGCATATCAGAGTAGAAGTAGTAGAACTACTAGTAATAGGAGTTCTAGTAGGAGTAGTAGAATTTCTACTGCTAGTAGTAGTAGTAATAACAACAACACAACAACATGGTGTTTCTGGTTCCAGGAAAATACTTTGAGGAAAGGAGGTGGCGACTAGGTAAGATGACCTATCAGCACCTCCTTACACCTGTATATTTCCTGGAGTTAGTAATTCCTAGGAAAAAATGTTGCTTCATTAAGGAGGTCTTCAAACAGAGGCTGGATGGTCATGTTCCATGATTCAGCCAATAGAGAACCCTGCAACAAGCAGCAGGTCAGACAAGATGACCTTTAAAGTACTTTCCAAGTCTCAGATTCTACATTTTTGATCTAATGGAATACTTTTCTTATGTTCTCAAACAGTTTTCTTGGAATCATGGAATGGGTGTAAGCTTCCAGGGCTTTGCTTATGCTATGACTTTCTTACCTACCTAAATGGAATTATATCTATCTATCTATCTATCTATCTATCTATCTATCTATCTATCTATCTATCTATCTATTGTAATATAAAAATGCCTCTTGCAGCAGCAAATAAAAAAGAAAAGAAAAGACTTTTCTAAAAGCTTCTCACTGTCTCATAATTACCACTTTAGAAGCAGGAAGCCTCCGGCGCTGCTTGTACATATTGATGAGTCTGTTCCAGGGAGAGAGCTCTGATTTTGGAGGTTCTATTTGTACATCTTCTACAGAAAAGAAAAGCCACAGCATCACAATGACTTTCAACGGTCAATGTTTTTCCAGGTTCTGCCTCTTTACTCACTCCAGACAACAAAAGTAAAATGCATTTTGCTCTATTTATTTGTATGCTGCAAAGAAAACACAGCAAAAATCAGGAGTAATTTAAAGTAACAAATTGCTCTCCTGCCCAGAGTGGCAGGGTATTTGCATCTGAAGTGGGAGTGTCTTTCTATCCTCCAACAACTTACCAAACTTACCTGCAACTCCCTAACCCTAACCCTTTGCTCCATTCACTTAAGAAATGGAAAGAAGGAGCCTTGATTGGGAGTATTACCTAGGAAGCAGAATAGACATTGTAGGACAGCCATGTTGGTCTATGCAAAAGCCTTCGATTGTGTGGAGCACAACAAACTGTGGCAAATTCTTAAAAAGATGGGGGCACCAGACCACCTTACCTGTCTCCTGAGAAATCTGTATGCGGGCCAAGAAGCAACAGTTAGAACCGGTCATGG